GCCCCCTACTGCTTGCCAAGGATGGAAAACATTTCATTCTAAAATGTTGTAACATCAGTTTGACGCCCCTTGGATTCTGTGCCCGAGGACCGGTGCCCCCCTTCTAGCTATGCCCCTGGAGCCAGTTTCTCTTGGAGAGTCCTTCACAAATGTCCCATCAGGCTGATAACTCTCGTACGCTTTGCTGTAATCAAATAAGCCAAGCAAGAGAGAGATTTGTTGTTGTAAACATGTTAAGAAAATTTGTCTTACAGAAAAGAAAGGGATGTTTCTGAAATACCCATTCTTTATCATTGAAAAAAAAAAAAAAAACACATCGTGGTAAAATTGCAAACCATTTTTGCAATTAGACTATATTAAGTTTTGTCTGTATACACTAGCAGAGTCCATGGGCATACTGCACTTTTTATCTTATGATTAATTGCTACAATTGTAATTATGCCAAACAACTTATTTATAATATTTTATTCTATAATATAGCTACTATAATTTTGCTTTGACTGTTGTTTATTTTTTAATTTCAAAACGATACTCTTGCCTCTAGGTAAGCATGGCATGCAAATTCTTTTTTGATTCATGCCAACCAGTTTCAAAATAATGTAATAATTTGTTATTTGGTCTGGTACCTTAACATGCTTTCGAGAAGATTGTTGCCAGGAAAGTAAATCATTAGTAATATTTTAGAGTTTACTCTAAGGAATTACAACTTTCTATTGTAAAGAAAATATTTGCACTTTAATGTTGTAAAGAGATTGTTGCCAGTTCTTCAGCAATAGTATTGGTCATCCTTTGTATTGTGTTAAAAATATTGTACTTAGATTGTTCATACATAAATTTTGATTGACAATGAAAAATTAAATAGCCTTTTTCGAAACTACCAAATGCCTTATATCTAATGGTATAGAAAAACTTATTTTTAATAAATAATGTATTTTTTGCAACTGCATATTTTATTTTTTCTTAAATGTTTTGCTTTCTATGGTGCTATGAGCAAACAAAACAAAAAATTGTTCGAATGTTGTAATAAAGAACAGCTTGTAATTGCATGGGAATATCTTAATTCATTTAATCTTCACATAGTTTTGTTTCATTTTTGCATTCACATTTTGTTATAAAAAAAACCTTTACTTGGTCACATGATCTTCATATACTTCATAATTTACTACATACTAGAGAAGTTATTGAAAAAATGATTAGCAAATATGTATTATGCTGTTAGATTTCTATACAACCTTCATGAATGATGATATCTTAAAAAATATATCTTTTTCTCTCAAAACAGATAAAAACATTCAAAAAAAATTTTTTAAGCGCGTTTTTACTCTTCCTTAAAATTTAAAATCTCACTCTTTACATTGTAGGTGGAGCCCATCATATTGAAGATGTAACTTATTTAAAGTGAGTTACAATATATGAAGTTTTCGAAAATGTATTCAACATTTCACAAAATTGTAAGTAATTTATTATTAAAAATAAATACAGTGTTTTATTCAGATGCATAGGTGCTCTACATTTTTATAAAGTTTTTAAATTGTAAATAAATAATATTTTTTTTTTTTTTTTTTTTTTTCATTTTAGACATTACTACTCATTTGGAACAATGATGAATATTTGTACTCTAAATTTTTTAAATAGTACCTTTTGTGCATTTTACACATTAATTTACTTATGAAGGTCAGTTTTCTTCAGAAAATCTTTGCGATAAGTCAGGTAGCTGTTATGTCCTATGCTATGTTCTTTTTAAATTAAATTTAATGTCCGCTTTATATGTTTTATAATTAGAAGTAGTATCCTATATGGTGGCACTGGTGCAGATAAAAATCAGGGTGAATCTTTAAATTATGGTAACTTGATGATTTTTTGGCGAAAATTGGGCGACCAACCCTGATACAGTAACCTGCTAGTTTTGTTTTGGATGCCATTTTGTTTTTGTAGTAATTACGACTAGTAGGATCCGAATATTGGTTTTTAAGGCACATACACGGTATCCATGGTCGGCATTCACAAAAATGGCATTAAAATCTACACAGGCTAGTGAATGTTGCCCAACTTTACCAATCTATTAGGTGAATGATGATTTTGTAGCAGATTTCGAAAAAATTGGTGTCGACATTTCAACCCTGATACCTAGATAGAATTCATGCTAATTTTGTCATTTTTTGGTCATGGAATAAGCTCATTTGTTTTACAACCAATAGAGTATTCAAAAGGAATTTCTTAGGTTCATTGTGAAAAATTTTTTTTTTCTTTTTTATCAACATTTTTTCGAACAATCTATGCAAAATATAGCTTATACTAAAATTTTTTGGAACAAAAAAAGTGGCTTCAATCATGACGAAGCTTAGGTGGAAATTGCCACGTTTTTAAGAATTGCACCAAAACATACCGGGATGCCAATGTAAAATGTCGACCTAGTTCACTTATCAAAAAAAAACTATTGGAATGGACACAAAAATGGCACCCCCCCGATGGCCGTGGCACTTATTGACTTTTTATGTACATCATAATCTTAGCTTATGTTTATTTACCAAAATGTTCCATACCTTCCAAACTTTCTTTTTAATTTAATTATAAAATATTATGAAGTTTCATGTTTTTGATTTATTTAAAATAATATACCTGGGTGATTCAGGAACAGAATATACAAAAAAAAAAATTTAGTTTTCAAAGTTAAATGTGTTAAACATATAAAAACAAAAGTTTTGTGAGAAAATGTTATACAAAATAAAAATGGAGGATAGAGTTACAATCACCAGAGAAATCTCGTAAAACATGTATTTGTGTACTCTTTTTATTTTTCGTTTTTAAATTTAAGGTGGGGGGTATACCTTGCTTGGGTGCTGTTAAGAGTGCCAACTGGTGATGTAGTGGATGGGAGCACTGAATGCTTCTAGTTCAATCCTTATTCAAATCCTGATAGATGAGCTGGTCACATAGTGTTTTTAATTCTTTTCCATATGTGTCTCATAAATATGAGCCAGATACACTTAAAGAGACATCCATTCCCATAAACAGATGGTCTTTTTGTGCTTTGCCTTAATCAGTTTACCAAACCTAATATATTAACAAATGAATTTTGAATATGTCTTGATTGCCTACAGTTATTCAAAATATATTCTGTATTAGTTTGAAGGATTGCTTAGCACTGGAGGACTCTCAAAAAACAGAAAATCATTGAAATAATATAAACTTGGTCTTATTTAACTTGCAAATGTATGTAGTTTCTAGAAAAGGTAAACAATGTATCATATATCATTCTCAAATATGTAGAAAAGCTAGACATTCTGTACGTAAAATTGACAAAACCTCGGTCTTACTATCAGATTATCATGGGCTCTCAACCAGGGGGGAGAATTTCATAGTTTCAAGGGGCAATGTGGTCACCTTTTAAGTATTTAGTTTATTAATATAAAAAAAACTGCTTTTATTATACTTAACTGTGTGTATACAAATGTACAAACATATACATACACACGTGCATACATGCATATATTTCTTAATCTGGTCCTGATAACAGAAGAATACCAAAATATGTAATATCTCCATGCTAATTTTTATATTGCATGTATCTTCCGTTAGATTTTATTGCAAAGACTGGATGTATGGGTTTTTTGTATGTAACTTTACAGAAGAATACTAAAATATGTAATATCTCCATGCTAATTTTTATATTGCATGTATCTTCCATTAGATTTTATTGCAAAGACTGGATGTATGGGTTTTTTGTATGTAACTTTAACTTTTAACAAATTTTGCATGTTAACTTTTAGTTTTTGTTAGTTTATAAACTTAAAAAGAAATCAGGGAAGAGTAGTCAGTGAGTTTCTTGTTTTATAGAAAGGCACTCATCTGCAGATAAATAGATTTAGTTTCTTGTCATAGTTAATTTTCACAATTACTTAATGTCAAAATAGAAGCATTATTTTGTTAACTATATGTAAGCTTTATTATCATCATTGTACATGATTCAGGTAAATCTCCCCCCCCCCAAGAAAAAGAGTTAGTGTAAGATCATAATCAATCTATAAAACTGAAATAATTTGAAATGATTATGATTTTAGCGATGCCGTAGAAATATACTTGTATCTAGACAGAAATTCATTTGTCAATCTCTGATCATAAATCTTTTAGAAATTAATGTAATTATTTCCTTAATTCCAAACTTTCTATTTTAATATAATTCTAAAATATTATGAAGTTTCATGTTTTGATTATTTAAAATAATATACCTGGGGTGATTCAGAAACAGAAGATACAAAAATTTAGTTTCAAAATGTGTAAATGGTTGCAGTGTGGTTTTTCACAGAAATGAACACAAAGACAGGATTTTTTTAACAATAAAAAGTCTTACTGCCAGAATAATTACCATTTTTTTACTAGCAGGTGCTTCTTTAGCAGTTTAAAAAAACTGACATTTTTTAGGGGACTGTGTGATCATCACTCAGAATTGTTTTCAAAATGTATTCTTACAAGATCTAACACACACAGGAACTGAAACTGATCAGTTCTGAAAGATATCATGAATTTGCAAATTGGGCTTTTCAACAGATGAAAATTAATGTGGACTGACAATGTCCTATGGACCAATAAAGTACTGTTATCTCTTAATGAAAGTGTAAATGCATACACACTACTATAGTGTAATGCAGAGGTGCCCTAATTTAGCATGAATGTTACTATAGTGTAATATTTATACTAAGTAGGCCACCTCTGCATATGTCTTATCCAGAACATGCTGGGATCAACATTTGATGGTAACCTTGTCCTCAGTCATTCGTTTCTATATAAATGACCTACAGGGTTTACAGACCTTACACCTTGTAACTTTTGGTTATGGGGATATGAAACCACTAGTATACAAAAAGTTTGGCTGATATTGGCCATATTGAAAGAAATTATTGACCATCATGTCACAGGAATTACAGCTTAATGCTCTTCAATGCTTTGCAAAGTATCATGCCACATCTGATGGTCATTTTCATGAATGGCAGCTGCTACACTGAGCAAATGTATCAATTTCAAGGGCAAACAGGTACAGGTCTATCTTCATCAGCAGCAAAAAAATCTGCCACAGAAATCTCCCCTTGAAATTAAAAGAGTCTTGACTAAATTCTATGCTGAACACAAGGTTGTTGCATTGCCTAATTTTATGGAGCGCTACTTGTTGGTGAAATTTGTAACTATTCTGAGAAAATTTTTGGTACTTACGTATTATCGCAACCAGGTTGGCGCGATTTGTAAGTTTGAGTAAAAAAGTATGAATAGAAAGAAAATGTACATTTATTAATTACAGATAATTTTTAATACAGTTTTTTATATATTTTGTTTTTAAAATATAAAATAGCAATTAAACCCCTTCCGGTTTCGAATTTGAATAAGTTGCAGAATTTTTTTTCGGCGGAAATCTTTTGGCTATTGCTTTTAGCACTGATTGAAAACCGTCTTCGCCATTAACAGCTTGAGCTTGGCGCCATATAAATTCGATAAGGTATGAGTCAAGATGATGATGGGCTGTTCCTCTCTGTTTTTTGTGCGCCATTTGGCTGAGACCCACATGCGCTCTACATGTTGTGTGTGAACGCCCGTGTTGGGATCCACAAAGTTATATTTGTGATTAACAGTTCCATGCAGAAATCCAGCATTTTCGAACTCACTTGTATTGTATCCTTTCCAGCAATCCGAATAAATAATGCTTCCTTCCTTCCTTGATATTTTCGCAAATTTTTTCCATTAGAGTAACGGCGCTTCTGTTAGGTACAGTAACCAAAAAAGTGTCTTTCTTTTCTCGGCAAATTCCACCGAAAACCCATTGCTGTGGTGGTACAGAAAGACAGGATTTTTTTAACAATAAAAAGTCTTAGTGTTATTTTTTCTTTTTACAAATAAACTTTCGTCTATTTTCACAATAAGTCCTTCGCCGCCTATTTGCTTTCTCTCTTTTTCATTCATTTCAAGGGCACATATCTCCCGCATGTAATTATTCCAATCTATAACAGTTTTGTCAGCAATTCCCATCTCTTCTGCACAAAATTTAATTGAGGTTAACTCTTTACACCAACAATAAATGAAACTACATATAACACGTAGGGTTGCCGTAAGTAGGGTCGCCAAATTTGGTGATTTATGCGAATTTTGGCCTGGTTGCGTTAATACGTAAGTACCAAATTTTTCATTATTAAAATAAATCCTATGTCTTTCTGTGTACTTCTTGAAAAATCACATTATACTACTGTCTGTATATTTTGAATTATTGAAATTTTACTGTTTCTGTTATTTTTGGATTGCCTGATATTATAGATTTTAATTTAAGAAATGATCCCTGTGATATATTGACCATGTAACCCAGGATAAAGAATTAACTCTCTAAGTGCATGGTTACTTTATTATGGTATTGTTCTGATTTGAAACCTTTTGAAAAGCTATGTAGAATATTTTCTTATAATTACATTTGATTAAATAATGAATATATTTTTCTTTTCATTATAAACTGAATACATTGCTTTTTCTTTTGGAATTATTTCAATAGGTTTTTTCCATTGTTATTACCCTCAAATATATCAGAAATTCGACATAGTTACAGTCAAAGAAAGAAAATGACATCGTCTATTCTTAATTTGCCCATTACTAAGGTGAAACTTTTGTTTTACAGTAAATTCTTTCAATCATGTAACTGAAATCAATAACATATATTCTGTTTTAACCTATTATAATTTTAATATGTAATTATTTTTAACTTCATCAAAATATTTGGATGTTGTATATACTACATTATTTTAGTAATTTTCTGTTTTAGGTCTCCCAATTAATTAAGGACAAGATTATAAGTGTTCCAGAATTGTGTTCTATGTGCTTGAAAAGAATAAATCAAATAAAGAATTTAAATGCATTCATAACTGTTACAAAAGATATTGCTTATGATCAAGCAGAGTTGGCACAAAGAAGAAATTTAGATGGTAATCTGATTTGCATTAGTATAAATGTTAATTTAGACATGTTTTTCTAAAATAGTATTTTTTTTAGAAATTTTATCTTATAAAGTTTATTTTATGTTTAAATATATGTTTAATTTTCATATTTATGTCTTGTTTTGATTATGCTTTAATATCGCATCAATTTATTTGTATTAGATGAATCAAAATGTTGAAAAGCCTTTTCTCCCCCCTCCAGAATTTATTATGAAACTGAAGTTCTTATCAGTCACATTATGTATTTTTTACTTTTTTTTTATGTTCATGGTATTTTTTAGATTTATTATGAATGCAATTTTATCATTACAACTCAAAAGGATATAAGCTATCACTGAACAAAAATATAAATGCAATATTTTGATGTGAAGTTACCGTATATACCCGCATATAAGTCGAGATATTTTGGACAAAAAAAAAAACTTCAAAACGCGGGGGGGGGGGCGGTTGACTTATACGCGGGGCCATAAAAAGTTTAAAAAATCGGAAGTTCAAAAATTTCTTTATATAATGCAGTTGTTTTCTTCCCGCACTCAAATTGGATGACTTATCAAATAAGTCACTTACTTGAAGTAATTTCATGACTTAAATTATGTGACGAACTAATCACAGAGTTTTATACTTTAACTAGAGTAAGTTTCGATTAAAGAATTTTCAGCCCCCTAACAACCGATCAATATCGAGCAATAGATTGGCTTAAAAGTGTTTAAAACAGTCGATTGGCTTAAAAATGTGTGGGATAAAAGACCGGGAGCAGCTTTCAAAAAACCTTCTCTTTTAGTATACGATTCTTTTCGTGGACACTTTTCTGAAGAAGTGACAAAACACTTAAAAACGACTGTGGCCGTAATTCCGGGAGGATTGACATCCGTCATTCAACCCCTAAATGTCTGCGTCAATAAGCGCTTCAAAGTAAATGTTAGAAAATATTGGGCAGAGTGGATTAGTTCTGGTCGACCAACATTTACAAAGGGAGGCAACATTAAAAAGCCTGATATTACATTAATTGCTCAGTGGGTTAAAGATGCTTGGAATGAAACACCCTCTGAAATAATTATAAAATCATTTAAAAAATGTTGTATTAGCAATGAACTAGACGGCACAGAAGATGATTCTGTTTTTGAAAGTGAAAATGACGACGAAGGCTCTAGTAGTGATTGTAACAATACAGAGTTTGAGACTGAAAATATGTATGATGATGACAGAAGAGTTCTATGAAATATTTGGCGAATCAGACTATGAATCGAACGTTGAAAGATTTTGATTTTGTTTATTTACCAAGGTATTTTTTATCGTATACTTAATTTTTTTTCTCAGATGATTTTGAATAAATTTAGTACTTAAAATTTTTTTTTTTGAAGTTTCTCGATCGATTTTGGAAGTGGGGGGTCGACTTATACGCGGGTATATACAGTATATGTTATAATTGTGGATTCAAATTGTATAATTATTTTATTTAAGATAAGTGCTTTAATTAAAGCTGTTATAAAACTATATGACAAAAATTGAGTATTTAATATTTTTTCAATTAAATAAACTGGACATGCATGCATTCACATACTGCTGAGGGTGCAAGGTGAAGTAAATTATGAATGTTGCTGACATTTACTTTTGAGGCCTTGTAATAAGTGTTGCTGTTAAAAAGAATTAAAATTATTTTACTCAGTATCATTTTCAGAGAGGAGTAAGAGAAGTTATGAGCTTAAACATATTTTTAAAAGGAGATTTGCTCCCTTAAAGTGACAGATATAAATCATTTAGTAAATATATGAACTTTTGTATAAGAAACAAAGCTGCCCTTTTATAGTGCAAAATTTCAGTTATATTGCAAAATTAAAGACAAACACATAGATAGTGCCTATATGGCTGAGAGGATAATTTGTGTCTGTTATCTTAAATATTCATTAATGCTAAAAGCTGTTTCTTACAGCTCTCTCAAATATTATGTTATGTTAACCTTAAAAGTTAGATGCTTTAAAAACGATTTTTATGTTATATTACTGTATGGGTCTACCTGAAAAGTTAGTGAAAACATCTGAAAATAATTTTTTTTCACTAGACATTTTTGTAAGGCTTCCTTAAGAATCCAGTGAATTTATCACTGTAGTTAACCACACTTTGTGTTTTCTAGGATATTTTTGTTAGGTAATTTCAGGGGCCACAAATATCAGACTTTGTATACTGTAGCTTGTCATTTATGTGAGCACAAAGTCTAGATATTTTTTATGCTTAAGATAATAGCTTATTTTTCAGCTACAAAATTATCTCATGGGCTTTTCCTGAAGACTTTGAGAAATAACAGGCAATTTGAAATAAATATTTAGTTGAAGGTATAGAACATAATTTTTGAATGGATTTCATGCCTATTAAGTACTACCCAAGGAAACCATAATTTAAAGTTATATTGCATTATTTTATTAAACAAGTAGGTTATATAATTAAGAGTGAGTGAGTGAGAGATTATGGCGCAAAACCAAAGATGATTATGAGTGCGCCAATATATAATTAAGAAGAAAAGCTTCAGAGGAACTTTCATGTTAAAGTGGTCACTCTTCAAGAGTCTGAAAACTGACAAATTTAATCACTCTGCTTTTGAAGTCACCAAAGGCTTATGTGATGGCTGCTTTAACAAGGAAATACCACTTCAGGCTATATGAAATGAGACTTCCCACTGTATAATTTTCTCTTACATTCCTGAAAATTTGTTGCTAGATTATTTTTATTGTTCATAGTCCTAGTGCAGGGAAAAAAATCAATATTATGTATATACCCTCTTGCGAGTATAGATATATGATCTAAATTACGTTTATGCTAGCCGTTTTTTTTTTTTTTTTTTTTTTTTTTTTTTTTTTTGCTAATGTCATTGTCCCTAGTATTTTTTACTTTTTGTGTTAGTATTGGTGCTGTCATTATGGCAGATCTAAACTATAAAGTTTTGTAAATAATGAAATAACTTTAGAAAAACTTCAGCTCCAGATGTGAGGACTTGTATTACATTTATATATATTTTTCAGTAATAATGCATACTGTATTTTGAACAACAAATTTGTTTAATTTTTATTTGATTGTAATGTAATGAAATTAATAATAATTTTAATTTTGAATAATTGTAAATTTCTACCTTTTTTAATATATGGTAATCTGTTGGGTAATTAGTTATTCAACAGAATAATACATAACTGTGCATTAAAGCATAACTCTTTATAAATAATTTCTTTCAAAGGGTTAGCTGCTACCATTTGGAAATAGGGTGCGATGTGACTAGTAACTAAAACTCGTGTACATATTTAATTAAAATTAGTCACGAACTGAAAGTTTTTTAATTTCTAATGAAATTTTCTTAGGTACATCTTTAGGAATTTTAGATGGTATTCCTGTGGCTTTTAAGGATAACTGGAGCACTAAACATATTACGACAACATGTGCTTCAAAGATGTTGAGTAATTATTCTGCTCCCTATAATGCAACAGTTGTTCAAAAACTTTATAATCAAGGTTCAGTTATAGTTGGTAAAACTAATTTAGATGAATTTGCCATGGGGTAAGTATGAGTTAAAAACTTATTTTATTTCAGGTATAGGCATTCGAATATTTTTCTTTTATTTTTTAAAATAAATATCTTATAGCATGTGTGATAAAAAACTGAAAACATACTTTCATACAGGATTAAAATACTGTTATAAATTTGTGTAAATATGTGGATATATTTGTTCTGTATTATTAAATTTGTATTATTGCTCTGTTGTATTTAGTATATAATTAATTTATGCATAAGTACATTTTTTTTTTTTTTTTTTTTTTTTTTTTTTATTTATGACCATTCACAACTTGTTATTAGCTCTGGTAGGAGATTTCACAATTTAAAGACCTTGACTCACTAAGCAAAACAGTTTCTTCTGAGCTGAAATGGTACTTTCTGCTTATCTGCCTCCCCTGGTTTCAAAAGGTAATGAAAGTGTTGTATTTTTGGCATATTTTTAAGTATGCAGGCATCAACAGCCAACTCAGGCATGCATATCTTCTATGCATGTTTGTATGTGGATTTACATGCTTTGCATTTAACCACTATTTCTCTGAATAGCTGTAAAAATTTAAATATTGCCCATGTCCTTTTGTGGGAGGGGGGGCTAATAAAATCTTCTCTTTATTATTTTATAAACCAGAAATACCTATAGGCTGATTGATAGCAAAATAAATGTATTTCACATATTCAGAAAGCAGCTAGTAAGTTGGCCATTTTTTATGGGAGTGTGGATAATCAGAAAGTACCATAGAAACTTTTCTGAATATGTTGAATCTTAATACAAAAACTTTTGAAAACCATCTGCTGCACTGTTGTTATCCCAGAAAAGAAAGCTTGATGCTAATTCACACATATTCAGCGAAAGACTTTGATATTTTAATCTTTAGTTTAGTAAAACAACTTAGAGTTTCTGTAGAGTTTTTAATGTTATGCTGATAAAAACTGACAAATTTACAGTATTTTTTAAATGCTTTTGTATTGATGGTTATTGATTTGTAATATGTATTTAAAACAGTTCTTGTTGAATATTTTCCTGATTTACTAAAGATCTTTTGACAACATTTTTAACAAGTGTAGCTTATTTTTTGCTATTACATATTCATTGTATTGTGTATATCACTTTAACATTTCAATAAAGATGATGTTATCATTAGAGTATTTATTCATTAGAGTTATCATCATTAAAGTATTTATTCAAGAGATTATTTTTATCTTAAGTTATGCATGAATAATATTGAACTCTTAATGTTTCATATGCTATGCTATTTTTTTTAACCTAATTTTATGTTTAAATGAGTGAGACACATGTAGTATGTTCTATGGGAAATGTCATATGGGAAACTTTTTTACTGTAGAAATAGATATTTATCTTCTTATTGCTATAACATTTCCAGTAACAGGTTTATTAACTAGAAGTTGATTAGACACATGTTGAAATGCTAGAAAAATAGCTGTAAAGTGTTTTTACTCATTAATAAAGCAATTACAAAAGTTATTAATTAATTATAATATATTTCTTCATTGCTTTTAATATGCCCAAGTGGTACTCAGATTCATGCCGAGTATTACAAGTGCCTGAGGGGTTATGGAATAAATAGCAGCTCTGATACACTGCTTCAGTGTATTCATAAGTGCTGGAATGCAGCTTCGTTATTGGTCATTTGAATATTCCTGTTGTGAAGTATTACTGCTCTGAATGGAGATCATTTATAGTTTAGATGAATTTATATATAATTCCCATTCTGCTGATAAGTGTTGATATCTTAGATTTCCCATTAAATCCGTTAGGTTTTCTTCTGCCAAATTTCTTCATTATTTATGGCACTTACACATTTATTAATAATAAAATGGAGTAATTTTTTACATTATTCATAATCTGCATTGTTATCATAATGGTGAGAGCTGAAATCTTGAAAAGCTATTTTTGTTGGGAAATATTGCAAATTTTTCTTCAGTTATAATGTGTGACTAATTTAACAATGCATTTCATGACAAAAGAAACAAGTTACTATTCATTACTATGTGAGTACTGTAAGATTATTCTTCGTACAGATATAGGCAGTTATTAAATAGATATTTCAGCTTATTTGATTTTTGTCTGATTGTGTAAAAGGAATTTAAAAAAAATATTATAAAATTGAGGGTGGATGAATAGTTTTGTGTTCATGTTCCTCAGTAGCACATACAAACTGCCTACTTTCACCCATGTGTGAAAGTCTTGTTAAGGAATGTTAATAGTGATTATGCCATTTTCAAAGTATTGTAATCATATTTGATATAATCGTTATATGATATTAAGTTTTACTTCTTTATTCTATTGTTATGATTCATTCAGAAAATTTTATTAAGATAGGTTAAGCAGCTGAAAAAAGAAGTATCTGAATCAATATACAATCTGAAATTTTTACTCTAAAAACTTAACTGTTCAAATTAACTATTGTTAACTGTAGATGGGGCTGTAGAATATATTGAAATTTTACTGAGCATGCTGTGTGAGAAAAAATAGATGAGCAAAATTCTCTTAAAATAGTCCAGAGGCTTTATAAAATAAATTAAAATTTTATCATACATATATATCAGTCTATGTTCACACAAATACATTCTGTCAATGATTACGATGTGTTCTGTTTATTTTATTGAACAAGTAAATCAATCATCTTGTTAAATAAATTTTTAATTTGTTTGTTTGGCTTTTCAACTTTATTTCCATGATGCAATTGACAGCTCAGCTACTATTGACTCCTATTTTGGTCCCGTTAAGAATCCATGGAGATCAGGTTTGAAATATAATCTGGAAAGGAGGTCAAAATTAATAAACAGTGCTTCAAATTCTTGCATGACCAGCAATGACTTTATACAAATAAATAAAGAACCACTTGAAAATGATGATTTTTTTGTATCTGGAGGTAGTTCTGGAGGAGGAGCTGTTGCAGTAGCTACTGGAGCCTGCTTTGGGTAATTTTTTTTTCTGTTAAATAAAATTTTTTGTCATCTGCGGCCAAATAATTAAAATGCCTAATTATTGTTAGTTTCATTCAGACTGATTACCTTGAAGATTTCCTTACATGCAAGATAAATATGAGCATATTTTTATGAAAAATAGCTATGTAATTGTACACCTTCCTAAGGCAGATAACATTCACATGTTTTGTCAAAATCAAATAGTGAAATATCGGAAGTTTTTCTAAGGAAATTAACAATTTGTCTGATTTTCAATTACAGTGTTTGGTATAAGCATATTTATTTATTACTGTGCATTTTTATGCATGAAATAACAGTTTTTTGAAATTAAAAACTTTACATATTATAATTTTCATTCAATTTCAAGTTTGAATAAATTAAATGTTTGTGTTAAATGTTATTTGTTTTATGATTATTTGTAATTTTGTTTTCAGTGAAAAATGCACATTTTTTAATAAGAGCATTAAAGAATATAATTTCCTTTCCTCTCTTTCTTATTTGAAAGCAAGAAAATATTTTTTAAACGAGCAGAATACTGTTATGTGTGGTCCTTCTTTTATTTTAATCAAACTGATTATATTTTCATATTATACTATTAATTTATTAGAGAAGTATATTTTATTATAATAAAAAGATTCAAATTTTCTGTAATAAAACATATACCTTGCATTTTCATTGAAACATTAAATAAGAGTATACTACAGTGTGCTTTTAAATATTTATTCTACTCAATTTTTCTCTCCTTTTTTTTTTTTCCACCCTAAAATCTGTTAATACTTGTACTGAAAAATTCTAAAAATGGCCTAAATGTATTGTAAGAATTATGTTAATTTTACTAACAGTTAAATTTTGAGTTAAACTTCCTTTCCTATCGCTTCTTAATTTCAATTTACCGCTTCCGGCCAGAACATAGTTTTAGAATCACATGCAAATCGAGGAAGAGTGGTATTTAACATTGGAATTTTACTGTCTTAGTCAGAGAGAACCAGTGATTCTGGCTAGCACGCATCCGCCTTTTTAGGCTATTCTCTAGCTATTATTATGCTCTGCTGTACTTTAGGCCCTTGATAGCTTCACAGTCAATTAGTGTTAAAGGGCTAATTCTATTAGAATCTTGATAGCTTTGGCTATATGTCTTTTTAGTTAAGATTAGTTTAATTCTTAGTCTCTTAAGTTCAAGTCCGAGTGTCGGCTTTATTGTACAACTCCAAGACAGAGTTCTGTTAAATCTTATTTGAATAATAAAGGGTCTTTTAACCCTTTCCAAGTTTATTTACTGTCTCACGAACTCAAGCAATTATTCACTTACTAGTTCTTAAGATTCTTCACATTCAACTGTAACTTTAAGTAAACAGTACAGAATCTTTATAATATAAATATAGATGTTAAAAACTGTAATTAGTCCTCAGGTGCAGAAAAATGTCAGCAGTAATACAAACTTTGAAAACATATTCAATTCAATTATTTTTATTTATTATAATAAAAAAATTCAAAATAATTTGCCCTTGTTTAGATATCTAATTTTAAGAACTAAGTAATTTAAGTAGTCTGTTTTAAATAAGGTTGTATTTTAATAATTATACTAGATAAATATGTAGGGAATAAAATTTAATAAAATTATTAATATCATTTTATTTGATGTTAAATTAAATAAAAGAAGGCTCAGATATATTTTGTAAGAATGAAATAAATTTTGGTACATTGTATAAAAATGAGTTTTCTAAGAGTTCATGAACTAAATTTTTTGTGAATTATTTTCCTCAATGCAAAAGATGCATGATTGGCTGAAGTTAGTGAATACTTAAAACTTCTGAATAAATTAAATGCTATATAATATAAAATGTAATTTGTGTACATTGATTCAAACTAACTATATTTTGGTGCTATTTCAGTGTAAAATTGCAATTTTGTATCATATTTTATTGCATAAATTAAATATCAATATATATTTGCAGTGCTATTGGCTCTGATACTGGTGGTTCAACAAGAAATCCAGCTGCATTCTGTGGTGTTGTTGGTCTGAAACCTACCTATGGATTAATTTCCAGACATGGTTTAATTCCATTATGCAATTCTCTTGATGTACCTGGAATATTAACTAGGACTGTAGATGATGCAGCTTTGTTTCTCAGTAAGAAAATCAGTTAAAAATTAATTTAATTTAAAATTGTACTCTGCTCATAACTTCATATTTTGTCTAAAAATTTTAGTTATTGCAATTTTTATAAACTAGTACTTAGACTCGTAAAACTGCCATACTATCTTTCCCATATTCTGCTGCCACATGTATTCAGATTATATTCTGAGCATTGAATAAGCATATTCAGATAGGCATATATGCCTTGAAAAACTGCTATGTTATCTAGAATTCAGCTCTAAAACAAAATGATTCTGTCATATTTTGTGAACTTTTTATTTCTCCATTAATTATAAAAGTTTCTTTTCTAAATCAAAGAACATGCGAAAGTAAATAGTTTTGCAGTAAATTTAGATGCAATAAATGAGAATTTTGCACGCTGATTTGTTAATCTCCACCTTCCCTCCTCAATAGCCAGCAAAAGAAACCATAACTATACTGAATTCTTTAGTAGCTAGAAGTAATGTGAAGAAGTATGTCAGTATTTGTTGCAAAATTATTTATTTTCACTTTCTTTTATTTAGCATTTTTTTTCCTTGTGAGGATTTAAGGTAATTAGTAGGATGAAATCTGAATATGCAGTTTACAACTTTTACATGCCATTCCATCTTTTGCTGTTTCATGTCACCTGGAAGAAAAATAGCAGTTAATCAAACTAAATCTAAAAGACTATAATTTAAATAAATAATAACATTATTATGACAAGGTTCAAGTTCTCTCATTGATTTGCAATTCATGATAAATTTCCAAATTTATATAAGTAATTCCACGTATTTGATATATCTGAAGTTTACAAATGTGTAATATTATTTTAAAAGCTTATCAAAAATCTATGTGAGCTCTGTTTTTATTTTAAGATAACCTATTTATTTTTATACACTATTTTGCCAAAATGTTTCTTTTTGACACCTTTATTAGACATGCATGGCATACACCTGAATGACATAAGAAATTTGGATGTGTTAACACTGTCAGTGGCATACAAGTCCATTTCCAAGTATGATCTTTATGGGGATACTGTGGATTATGCAGCAGTCCTGTGACACAGTCAACAATCTTTTGTGTCTCATACATCTTCAATTTAATTGATATCCAAGGGCTTAAAGAGCAATAGGAGTTGCATTAGTATCATTATTAGCATGGAAAGAATAATTACTGTTCATCAGCATTATGTAGTGTATAATAACATTCGGATATATTGCAACTATTATATAACCATTTACAATGATTAGAGTGCATTAACCTGTTTATGCAAATATACCCTAGATTGAAGACTGACCAAAATTAAAAACAAATTAATAGTATGGAGATGATAGAGTTAAGGAAATCTGTGATCTTCCTCTAAATTCTTATCATATGTTTAAATTATTGACACAGATAGTGATGTAACATATAGTGCAATTTGTTTGATGGCATCTGTACCGCCGGGAAAGAATACAGATTCCATGAAACTATAGCTTTTTTTGCTGATCACCCGCAATCTATTACTGATGTTCTGTTTTCTGTGTCACTGGATTTCTTATATTTAGGACTGATGCAGTATGGATCAATCCACTGCTGTTTTTATCTGTTGAATATGGTTTGCAATGAATTATTCACTTCACACCAGTGTTGAAAACAGCGAATGTTACTTGTTACTTTTGATGAGTAGCAAATTACAGCTTTATGGTCCATATCCTGCTTTACTGTTTTCTTTATAAACATACCACAGATGGCATATGCACTATTACACCTATTTTCAGTGTATTACTGAAATTGAGTGTATTTTCAAAGGTTAATTCCCATTAAGCTCACAAATACAACTAAAAATTCTGAGTATAATTAGGTATTCTTATGATATTAGAGTCAGCTTGGCAACTGGAATAAGTGACCTGAAATGAACCAGTTATTTATTTGCTGAGTCAAGAGTGAAATTATAGAATTCAAAATTTAAATAAACTTTTATCAGTTAAAAAAAGTATTGTTAATAATTGAATATGGAATAAAATGATAATTAATTAAGAAAATTATTCAAATTTATACAAAATTAAATTAAAATATAAATCAATAAAATAGTGATTGATTGCAACTATTAATATTCAAAATAATATTATCATGACATTAACGTGCTGATTAAAGAGCTGCTTGGCTGCATACTAGCATCACAAAATAGTCAGTACTAGAAGTATTTTTGCTGATACATAATTAGAGAATTTTTCAAGACTTTTCTGGTCATCCTTACATGCATTTGAAACTGATTGCTTCAGCCTCAAAAACTAAATGATTAGATGTGTATGCACTGATAAAAAGTGTATTTACTTTTCTTTAAGAGACACAAAAGTTCAAATATTTTTCTTCAGTCAAATATCAATTAAAAAAAAATAAATCTGTCAAAATGATGCCAATAAATTTGGATTTCAAAGTTAGCTTCATCTGACCCTTTTCTAAAACTTTATCACAACAGCTTCCTTGTTGAGAAAGTAATACAGTCAAAAGTCGTTAATTCGGACACCCATAATCCAAAATGATCTATAATCCGGACCTCAAAGCGACGCATGCGCATAAGCCTTCACGGCTGAGAATATGCTGGTGCGCGTGGGCAAAATACGTTTACGAGTGCGCGTTTAATGTATAACAGACGGTATAAGGTAAGCTAAAATTACTTAATTATCTATTTCAGTTAATGTTGCAGATTGCGTTGTTCCTTAATCTTCGAATTGGATCCGGCTTATTATTTTTTGTTAGAGCAATTTTATAAAAGTAAGCTTGAACTTTCGATTATGTCAAATAGAATTTCCGATTATGTCAAATAGAATATGTCAAATAGAATTGTATTATTAATATTGTACTCCATCTTTGATGTACTCCATCTTTGATATGATTTAAATCAAATTACTCGTCATTATAATTTGCTTCCGATAGTGAAGAAAATGACACATAGGTATTGAAAACGAAAAAATTTCGATTGACAAATTTGTCGGTATTCTCGACACAGCAATTATAGGACTTGAACAAGCGGAACTTTGTAACTAAACAAGAAATTATGTCTGTTTAATAGAATTAAAGAGAAAGTATTATCACATGAAACGAAGCAACTTACATTGAAGGAAATGTTTAATAAAGTAAACAAATAAATATTAAGCTTTCTCTTTTTGTAAATTTTGATACCCTTTAGATCATAATTGTTCTTTATTTCATAAATTACGGTTTCATATTTTTAATTTTGTAATTTCTGCATGCCATCTTACCAGATTTAAACTGATGATCTATAATCCGGAATCGCCGAAGTCCCGACGAGTCCGGATTAACGAATTTTGACTGTAGCAACCTTAAAATTTTACTACTGAGACAAATCAGAGGACAGATTTTTTGGGCTGCCAGTTGCCTATGCATGTTACATATTTAACACAAAATGCCACGAATTAGTTACACAGCTATGCTGTATTGTGGTGTGCAATCCAAATCTAATTTAATATTTTATCTACTTAACTTAAATTCTGTACTTTTCATAATTCAAACTATATATATTTTTTTCTTATTGAAGTGTTTCAGTTTTCATTGGAAAATGAAATTATGAACATTTTTCTATTTAGAATTTTTTCCTTTTAAAAGTCCGTAGAATTATGCACTTTATTTGTTTTAAAAGTTCATTTATTTATTTACTAAGAAACCTAATTTTTTTGTGTGTTCAAGAATATGAGCAAGGACAGCTCCAGCATTTTTAGCACCCTAAGTAAGCAGTGTAGTTTGCATCCCATGTAAATTAAAAATATTAATATTTTAAACAAAATATATCATTATTTAGATGAAACTTATGAGAACAACTTAACTAGTGCTGTCCAAAAATCGCTGCCCTAGGTCATTATTTGTGTTTTCTGTGCTTAGAACTGGGCTTGATTATGAGCATCTATGTATAGAAAATATTTGAAAGATGTTTTGCAAATGAAACATATTATTCAAGCAAATTTTTTTCTGTGAGTCTGTTTTTTCTAAATTAATATTAGAAGCAGTTAATCAAATTATTCTCCCTTTTGGCACTAAATCCTGAGATTTTTTTATTTTTGAGTGCAAATGTTTTTCTTGGTAATAAGTAAAAGAATGCAGTTTGGAAAGATGAGTTATTTTCTGTCTCAGTCAATCTAAATTTCTGAAATTCAATTTTTGAGGGGAACAATTAATGTTCATTAGAGCATTTGCTTTATTTGTAATTTCAGAAAACTATTCAAAAAAGTTTTTTATTGGTTTCTATCAGCTTTTCTTTTTCTCCTTCTTCTTTTTTTTAATATAGCAATAGCTAAAAAATTAAGCACTCTCCTTCATTAAAATTTTCAATCTAATGTAGATTGTGATTATATGAATTCACAGTAGATACCTATGATATTTGTTTGATTTGTACTGGAAATCTGACTTAAAAAACAATAAAAGCTTTTTTTCAGTCACATTTCTTTATTTTGAAATGAATGTATATTAAAGAAGTAGCTGATTACAAATATTTATATGTATGTCTCTGATTGTATATATATATATTCATGTATTTAGTTGCACAACTTATTGTTGCAGCCAAATTTAACTAACTTTGTTGACTTCTGCAGAATGAAAGGCAGGTGCTTGACGTTTTTTATTTCATTGTTTATACAGACTTAAGTATTGTTTCTGGTAATTGGGATGACTCTACAGTTCATGGTTTTCATGGTTTTCCTGATGTCTAATGCAAATATGAGCAAATTTCCTTTAGGAAATCTTTCATACATTTCAAAAGAAGTTATCCCATACATTATATGCCTTGCCATTATCATTCAGCCAACTATAATAATATTAATTCTAGAAAACCAGTATGCAGATGTTAGCAACCCTGATCATTCTCTACAGTTAAAGAAAAGCAAATATCTTATTTTTGCATGTTATGAAAAAATTATGAACTGTATGTTTTTAGTGAACTTCTGGTTTAATTTTTTCAGCTTCTACTTGCTATTTCATGAGTTAGATTATAGCTCATATAAAATTATGTTTCTTAGAAGAAAGATAGCTTATGTTATTTATATTATATTGCTTTTAATTTGATTTTAAAAGTTTGCGTGGGATTATTCAAAATTTTTATTCCAGATTATCTTGCTGGGCATGATGTACAAGATTCCACAACTGTCTTTAAAAGGTTTACACCATTTACTATCCCTGATGACATTGACATCAAAGAGTTTCATATTGGAATACCAAAGGTCTATAAAGAGCTCTTAAAAGAAAAATAACTTTTTTATGTAGCGGTATTTTATGGTGTTTTTAATTTTTTAACTTTCTGAATAGCAATTTATAATGTTTCAGGAATATGAATGCTCTGGAATGTCTCCTGAAGTTATAAATACATGGAAGACTGTTACTGATGCTCTGGAAAAAGCTGGAGCCAAAATAACATCAGTATCATTGCCTCACACTAAATATTCAATTGTTTGTTATTCTGTTCTCTGTTGTTGTGATGTGGCTTCAAATTTTGCTCGTTATGATGGAATAAGATATGGTGAGACATTGTATAGAAGCTTTCTATGCATGAAAATAATTTTAAGATATTTATATTAAATTTGTTTTAAATATAAAAATATTCAAAAATAATATTTATGCATTTTAACTAGCCATTCACAACCCCCCTTTTTTTGTTTCTTTCATTTTTTCTATTTTTAAAAGTTACACTTTAAGTAGCCAAATGTTATGCTCATCTTACTTTCTTAAGCTCGTATTAATGAAATATTCATATTTCCTGTAGGAAAATTCTTAGTTATGATATATTTTTGGTTGTGGTTTTCGTTTATTAGCTCTGCTGTTGTGTTTCAAAATCAATTTTATTTCATTAATAAGAAAGCGTATGTGTAAAAAATTATTATATTTAAAAAGGATAAGGAAATTAATGAGAATATATATAAAATAACAGTACCAACTTTAAAAAAAAAGGGGGGGAGTTAAATTTAATTAGTATAAGAGAAATTTTTTTTAGGTATGTTAAAGTAAACAATTCTAAGAACAGAAAATTGTTTTTATATGACTATATGGTTTAATATATGTTCATATTTACTTCTCATAAACATACCTTTATTATGAATACAGCCTCTGAGATTCTGGGAATGTATAATTGATTTTACAAGTTCAAATAAAAAAAATTTCATTATATATGGATATAAGTACAAAAACAATGCAAGTAAATATTTCATGTTATCAACTTTTCATTGAGTCAGAAATTATACCCAAAAATTCCTTCTTGGTGGTAATAATAGTACAGAAGAATATATTTGAGGAACAAACAAAATGTTGTAAAAGCATGTAATTTTTATTCTAAGCTAATAAATATATAAAAATATTGTTTAGCATATAAATTTAAATTTGTAATTTATTAGAAAAATGCATCCTTATAAACTAATTTGCCTTGTACTTTGGTAGTTAGATTTTTTCAGTGTGACTGAGGTTTTTTTAGAAACCTTTTCTCAGCAAAGAAATTGACAAATTGGTTATTTGTAGATCAATTCCTCAGATAAGCTTCAGGATCTCAATATCTAGCATTTTTGCAACTTGAGAACACAAATTAGGAAATTTATAGATGTTAGGATCTTGAGTACCCAGTCTTTGCCCTTCTTGAAGTATGTAGCGTAAAAAGTTCAGATCGTTTATTTCTTGTTTTCCAAGTTGTATATTTCTACAGTTAAATGATGAGTATTGTTTGGAACTCATGTCTTTGTAATTAGGATGATGACATGCTTATGCTTTGTCATGCAATTCCTATGGTTTCCCTAATTTTATGGCTACTAATTCAAGTTTGTGTATTTTTGGAATTTTTTTTTTCTACTTTGTCTGTCATTTAAATCCATCCAGTCTAGCATGAAATGAATGTTTGGATCAATGCTGATTTTTTTTTTATGAATGAAATAAGAATATAGTATTAAGTTGGAACTTATTATTATAATTTACCAGTAATATTTTGTGTTTCTTTTTATTTCATTCATTATGTTCATTTCAATTTCAGTTTATAATTACCATCTATAAGTGTTATTGTTATAATTGCCATATAGTGAAACTAGTATAAATATTTCTTTGCTTTGCTAAACTTCCATATTTGATTAATATAAGAAATCAGAGACTTTATAAGGACTTAAGTTTTACTAACATTTGTTTTATTTTAAAACTTTACTGTCCTCTCTTATTTTCCACGTCCAGCCAGAATAAATGTGTTAGTTTTGTTTATGCAAATTGTGCTTGCAAACTCTAAAGTATTTAAGTTGTGGCTTTTCGCCAAGAAGAGTTATAGAGAGAGTGAGACTTTTCGCCGCTTTACTTCACGCGCACTTTCAGTTAGTTGCTGTCCTCCTTTAAGGCCAGAAATTTAGTCTTCTTGTTATTGAAGACATATTGTAGTTTTCCCACATTCTGCATACTACATATGTAAAAATTAAAGGCCCATCTTAGTGTTACTAGTCTGTGTAAAATATTTGAGTTTAGCTCTTACTTAAATTTAGTTAGCTTATAGTTCTTATTTTCTTACGTTCAGACCACAAGTGCTGATCTTTATATCCCAAAGTGTGGGAGCGGTTGTAATTTGTGAGAATAAAGGGTAATTAAACCCTTCTTTTCTTTGTCATATCTTCTACAATTGAAAAGGATATACTAGTTTCCATTAAACTCACTGTTCTACTCAGAACACTTACATGTTTGCAAAATAGATAAGAAGAAATAGCAGTCCTGATAATCTTGGAATATTCTTTTATGTATGTGTCTATGTTTGCATTAGATAATGATGGGAGTTTAATGTCTTAAGTGGTAACTTCAGATTTTTCATTGGAATTTCTGCATGCATCTTTGATTTCTTTTATTATTTAATTTTTTTGTTATATTTCATAATTATAGAACTAATTAATTTAATGGCTTCTTAAATGTAATTCTATTAATCATTCTAGGCAACTTTACATTTTGCTTTAAATATACAAAATTTAGGTCATAGAGCAGAAGGCAAATCAATGTCTGAACACCATTATGCTCTGACAAGAAGAGAAGCATTTGGGGATGTTGTGCGGGAACGAATTCTGGCTGGCAACTATTTTTTACTTAAAAGGTAATATAAATTGAGTAACATGTATATAAGAAAAAGAGTGTGATCTAATATAAAAATTTGTAATGTTTTAAACCTTAATAAAAACTGCAATCGAAAAAAAAAATATTAAATACAGCTCTGATTATTTTATTTACATTGTATTAAAATTCTTGCTGTATAATAGGGAGTTTCTGTTGAATTTTCAGTTTCAGATAATTCTTATAACATACTATTTAAAATATTATGCAAAATGATATCAATAATAATTCAAATGCATAATGTTTTCTTTTAATTAAATAGAATCACTGTTATCAGATAATCAAACTTTGATCAAAGTTCAATAAAATATCTGAAGGAAGCTGATAAAAATACTATATGCATTATATGCATTTTTAAATATTATTTGAAATCATATCAAATGATATTGCAATAATTTAAATGCTTCATACTTTTTCTTTTCTTTTCTTTTTTCTTTTCTTCTTTTTTTTTTTTTTTTTTTTAAGAATATGATGTTTTCTTTGTAGAATTGCTGCTATTCTATTGTCAAATAATAAATGTTAATGTTTATTTTTTGATCAAATAATGAAGTATGATGTTGGTTTACTTAAAAAATTAATAAATAAAATTCTTAGCTTCAGGCTATGAAATATGCATATGATAATGAATTTGACGGTGATTTATGAAAAGAGGCAAGATTTATTTTTCAAAACTTATGCTTTGATATTAAAAAAGATAATCTGTTCTTTCACATCTTCATTTTCCAGTTGAAATTCATAACTTGTTATGAACTTTTTATATGTCAATTTTAAATCGCAACTGGCTTTACACTAGCTTGAGTATCAAAACTGGTGGGCAGTGGGTGAAAATTTATTGCTGTGATTAGAGTGAGATGCATTTGGAAATCTATTTAATATTTGATTCACCAGTTAGGACTGTTGCATTTGATGTTTACAAAATCTTATCAACTGGGGCAAAAGTCATGTTAATGTACATACCACCACTAAAACATAATAAATATATTTTTAGTATATCAGAATTGGGGTCCATATTCTATTTCAAAATCTGATAGCATGAAGATAAGTCATGAAAGACCACTGAAGAATTTTAAAGCACAAAATAACAAATGGTTATAAAAATTCGCAATTGAAAAATTTTTTCAGGATTTAAATTTGTTATATATTTATGCTGAATTTTATTTCTGTTTATTTGAAGAGAAATTTATGAAGATTTAATTACAAGTGCAAAAGAAAATGCTTGAAATCTATTGTTCTAACATTTAAGTACTTGGCCTCAACTACTTTTAGCAGTTAAATGCTTTAATTTTTTTTCCCGTTTTCCTCTCCCTCCTCATAGTTTTGGATGGCTTCTTTTATAATTCATATTTTAATAGTGGTAGGCAAGGTTTCGTGAAAATTATAGTCATTGAAGAAATAAGTAAATTACCATATCAAAAGTGCTAAGATTTGTATTTGAATATACATATATTTAGATTATATATTTGCAGTTCATATATTTTTCATATGCATTTCAGTGGCTGTCAACTGCATTTGTAAAGCATCTCGATGCTGTTTTTCATAAAATGGTAGTAAAACTTTGGTATACACAAATTTTCTTTTCTAAAAGTCTATGTGTAAGCCAAACTTTTCAAGTTTCTTAAAGAAATAGACTTTTTTTCCCTGAATGACTTACATTATCCATGTAGGCTTTCAGCATGTGAATATCATACATTTCAGTTTTATTATTAGGTATATGAATTGCTTATGTGTCAAATTTATGATATAAAAGTAAAAGCACAATATTTCGAGATAAGATATGACTTATTTGATTTTTATTTGTTTCTTTTTGTGTTAAAAGATAAAAATGTTTAAAAATTACATTTGTTTTTTTAGAAATTATGAAAAATATTTCCTTCAAGCAGCAAAAGTTCGTAGACTTATATGCAATGACTTTAAAGTTGTTTTTGATAGTGGTGTTGATTTACTATTAACACCTGTGACATTAACCGAATCTATTCCATATTCACAATGGATTCTAGTTGACAACAGGGAACACAATGCTGTTGATGACTTTTGTACCCAACCAATTAATATGGCTGGTAAGCATACTTTAACACATCTGAATAAAAAGTATTTGTTTTCTTTAAATAAAAATATTCTTTTTTATTGCAATATGTTATTATAAATTATCTGATATATTATGCATTTAAATCTGCTTTTTAGCCTTTGTATGTTTCTTTATAGTAAGAAATGACTCTATGCTAGTACCGCCTGAGGTGTCCTAATACATAATAGCTTAGTTGCAGAGAATTTTGCCTTTGTGCATTGCACTATAAGAGCTTAAAAAATCGATTATATGTTTTAACTTCCCCCCCCCCATCATATAATAAAAATTTGATAATCTGCACACTTTGGGAACAAGGTTTGCATGAATTTAAGGCAAAGCTTCTGAGATTCTTATTTATGTTTTCTTCTTTCTAATTTTTTGTATTAAGTCTAGATTTTAGTGTATAAATAATTAGCTAAAATATACTCAAATCTTATGAATTATTTAATCAAGATTTATTGACTACAAAACTGTCACATTCTCTGTATTTATTTTCAAAGAAAATAGTATGTTATGGAGATAAAATAGGGAACACTTTTGCAAAAGTAGAGAATTCTTTTTGTATTAAAAAAAAAAAAAAAAAAAAAAAAATGCATAAAAAAAAATTATATACACTTACGAAATATTTCAAAATAACTTTTACACTTTTAAATGGGAGGGAAAATTATATGATAATGGATAAATACACAGTTTACCTAAACAGAATCCCTAGCAACAAAAATACCCTACGAGTAAGGTTTTCCCTAAACAGAATCTCTTCGTTTTGATGTTATTATTTTATTTTCAAATTCGGTTACAGTTTATTTGATTATGGAAAAAACTGCTAGGGTTATCTACCTGAAGAGAGGATTGCCTTTGGGGAGGACTTTCTAAGAGAAACTAGTTCTTGCCACCCTGTATGCATGGATTCTATTCTAGCTCAACTACCAGAGTTCAGTGATTTTACTGGTGGTGGGCCTATTTGTAAATTACTATTGCAATACTTATTATTCACTGGTTGAATGGAATTTGAACCGTGGTACTCTCTTTTGTTCTTATTTTAGGCCTACTTAATAGATTAAATGAAGACTGATAATTCAGCTTGAGTTCTGCTGGTAGCAGTATTTTAATGAATTCAGTACTTTAAAAAAAATCTCCATTTTCTAATTCAATGTATGTTATGAAATTATTTGTGGATAAATCTTTAGAAGCAGATAAACCACTTGTTCTTCAGTATAATTAAAAATAAATCTATTTTAGAATTATTTTATGTAATTGTTAAGCTGTTATAAAATTTATACACATTAATTATTCTTCAGAATTATAGGTTCTGTGAAAATACAAAACTGCATTAAAAAAAAAAAAAAAAAATTAGCTTCTAAAATTTTGATGTTGATGAAAGGAAAAAATTTTCCTAGATTTGTAACTTATTGAATCTAGCACCAGGGCCAGAGTTACGTATAAGCTACACAAGCTATAACTTAGGGTCCCCCTAAATTAAAATATAGTATAAATAGTATTAAAATATATTTATAACAGGCTTATAAAGGGCCCATATCTCAAATAGCTTAGGGCCTTATCAAGTCTAAATCTGGCTCTGTCTAGCACTATTCATTGTAAGAATTTAATCAATGTTACGTTTTATAAAATACTTATTGAGATTTGTTTTTTATAATTAAGTAACAGTTTTAACCTAAACTAATAACTAGTTTGATGTTTTAGATCATGAAACTTTTTAACTTTTTTCTTTTATTTCTGTAGGCCTGCCAGCTGTTAGTATACCATGCTGCTTGTCAAGTAATGGACTCCCTCTCAGTCTTCAACTCATAGGCAGAGAATTTCATGAAAAACAAATGCTGTATGCTGCTAAATGGATTGAGCAACTCATGGACTTTCCATTACTCCATTTAAAATACTAACTTTTCAAATTATGAAGCAACCATCATTATTAAATTAAATAAATCATGTTTTTGACTTTACTACATAATTTCTAGAATGCTGGTTTGTTATTTTCATTGCATATAAGAACACCATTCTTATATGTACGTATACAGAATATTACAGATATATAAAACACACGTTATTAAAAGAAACAATAAACTTCTAAATCTAGTTCACGTTATACTTACTTCAGCTACTGTTAATGATTACTCAGGTTTTTTCTCTTTATCTTAGCAATATTTTATGATTTAATTCTTAATAGTTAGAAACTTCGTAATAGTTAAAAAAAACATGAAAGCAGTACCTTTAACATGGGTAGTAATCACCACCCAATTTTTGCCAACATTTTGCTAGTTTTTCAAAGCCTTTGGCCGAAAAACTTCATGGCCATGATTCCAGAAACAGATCAACCTCATTTTGGACGTCCTGTGCAGAATGGAAAATAGCACCAGCAAGATGTAGCTGCAGGTGTGAAAAAAAAAGGACAAGTCTGAACAAGCGATGTCAGGGCTATATGGTGGGTGTGGCAAAAGATCCCATTCGAATCTGTAGATGTGAATGTAGACATATGTGTTCTTGCATTATCTTGATGGAACGTCACGTTTTTGTACTGGAACTCAGTTCGACTTTTTTCCTTGATATCAGTGTGAACATAGACTAGCATCTCGCTGTACACTTTACTTTCGAGGTTTCTACCTTTTCCCAGGTACTCTTTGTGGATAATAGTACAGCAATTCCACCAGATACAAAGTTAAATTGCGTTTTGTGATGCTGCCGACGGGCTCACCAAACGCAGACCAACTGTCTTTTCAGCCTGTGTTGTTGAAGTAAATCCACTTTTAATCACAAGTGATGATCTGGTCCAGAATTTTGTCCTTGCGTTGTTATTCAAGCAGATTAGTGCAGGCCGAAAAATGTCTGTTCTCATCTGCTTGAGTCAGCTCATGTGGCACCCAGCGATTGAACTTGTACGTCAAGTTTATGTGTTGCATAACGTGACTGATGGACATGGCACTAACGTCTAACTCCTTAGCATGCTAAGAAGTGGTTACATACTAATCTTCTCCAAGATTTTGCAGGTTGGTCTCATGAACATCAGTAGGCTGGCCAGAGTGCTGTGCTTCTTGAATGCCATAGTCCTTGTTTTTGAACATGTGGTACCAAACCTTTACAATGTCACATGATACAACATTTGTACCTAAAGCTGCACACATGATCAGGTGATATTCTGTAGCTGACTTTTTGCAACAGAACTGGAAGTAAATGATGGTTCTAATCTGGTAGCATGATAATTCTATTTCAGACATCTTGTACATAATGATAACGATATTTTTTTGTAAATCTCACAACGCGATGTTCTAAAGCAAGTCTCTTGCTTTCAAATGCCTAAAATCGTTTGATAAAATATGATTAAACATGCGAACATGACAGGCGATATTTGTGGTGGCGGAAATCTTTTGTTAAAGCCCGAAATACAGAGGTTGGACAAAAATATGGAAACAATTTTAAAAAAACATGTTTCTTTGCTTAATATGGTGTAGGAAACCAGTTGGCATCCAAAACAGCTTGCAGTCTTCTCGAAATGAATAAATACAGTTCCTGTATGTTTGCCAAGGGAATATTATACCATTCTTCCTGCAAAACGGTGGCAAGTTCAGATAACGATGTTATCTGAACTATCTGAAGATAATATTCAGGTCTGGTGACTGTGGTGGCCAGGGGAGATGGGACAACTCATTCTCGTGCTCAGAAAACCAGTCCTGGACAATGTGAGCTGTGTGAACAGGGGCTTTGTCGTCTTGGAAGACGCCATCACCATCGGGGAACAAAGTTTGTACCATGGGATGAACTTGATCGGCCAAAATGTTCACATAAGTCTTGGCACTCATGTGCCCTGACACAGTTATCATGGGGCTAGCAGAGAACCACGATATGGCTGCCCAAACCATAAAAGAAGCCCTGCCATGTTTCACTCTTGGCAACAAGCAGTCTGTATTATAGGCTTGAGATGGCGTTCTCCAGACGTAAACTCGGCCAGAAGTGGGAAACAATGTGAAAGAAGACTCGTCAGACCATATTACTCACTGCTCTATAGTCCAGGCTTTATGACTTAAACACCACCTTTTCCTGTTACGGGCATTAGCATCACCGATGAGTGGCTTCTCAATTGCAGCACGACCAGCAATTCCCTGTTTATGAAGCTCTCTTCTAATTGTTTTGATACTCACAGGGTTCGGTAACACAACATTCATTTCAGCAGTAACTTTTGCAGCTGTGGTCTTCTTATTTTTCGTCGCAATTGCTCTTAATGATCGTCTGTCACGATCACTCAGGACACACTTTCATCAGAGCTGTGATTTAGCAGATGATTTTTTTTTTTTTTTTTTTTTTTTTTTTTTTTTTTTTTTTTTTTTTTTTTTTTTTTTTTTTTTTTATTTTTTTTTTTTTCCGCTTTTCAAATTTGCGGAATAAATCTTCGATACAGTACCTCTTGAAACACTAAACACCTCGGCTACCTTGCTTACGGAAGCACCTACCATACGTGCTCCAATAATGTGCCCACGTTCGAAGTCTGTTAACTCTGACATAATGCAATGACAAACTCACATAACCGTACTCCGACAACAACTGAACTGTTTAGCACATTTACGAAGTTGTATAGGTGGCGTCAGTAGTCAAAAATGCCAGCGCCACCTACATATTTCATTAAAATCAATCTTTCTTTTCAAACATGCATTTCACAAGGTGTTTCCATATTTTTGTCCATCCACTGTATGTGTGACTATATTTATGTTCTTGGGTTGCATGTTTTCACATGTACAACTGGAGAGTTTGGCTTGCTTTAGGAGCATGAACTGATTCCAAACTCCTAACACATGTCAAGCACATTATCACTGTGTGTATAATAACTCTGATGTAACTAAAGTGATTTTAAAAGGTTTAAACAACATTTTTATTAAAACATTACTTTGAACATAAATACACTTCTTGTGCTCACAGAATCAACCACCAGTTGGGGTGATGTAACTAAAGTAACAATCAAATTCAGGTTTTAAATGTAGACTAGTAGTCAAAGATTTCACAAATTAAAATTAAGCTGGCTCAGAAACTCTAAATGGCTTATCAAATATAAATGCAAGCAGCAATAACGCAAAGCCAAATGACTACGAGTTTAGCAGAGCTGGCAAAAACTATGTAGCATGCCTGCAAGAGGCAGAAACATGCTCTGTCTTATAATCCAAAAACTTCAAACTCTCTCTAACTGATTTACATTTCTGGTTAGGAAATGGAAAGAAGTTACAGTAAATGTTGAAATTGTAAATAACTGGTTAATTTTAATAATAAATCTTACATATTCATAGGGAAGAGATAAAAGATATTAAAATATAGATGAGACCCTTACAACAATTATTTCGTTTTTATTTCAAATCAGTTTTAAGCATATCTGCTGAGATTTCCAGGCATCTGAATATAGATTTTATGCCACTGAAATTGTATACATACATGGTCTCTTTAATTTTATAAGAAATATTATACATTAACTATATATGCATTGCTAATAATTTTTTAATTTCATTGCAATAATATGTCATTTTTAGTGATATCATCATGTTTTTCATCAAGAAATTAATCATTTGAATTATTAAATAGGAAGAATGTGTTCTTATTCATGCATACTTGCCAACCTATGACACTCAAAAATCAGGAGATTTTTCACAATGTTAAAAAGACTTTTTAAATGATAAAAATGTAGTTTTTAATAATGAATTAACTTTAAGTAGTAAGTAATTCTTAAATGCAAGCAACACAAAAATACACATAAAAAAATTTTTATTGCACGCATCGTTTAAGAAAAAAAAAAAAAAAGACACATTAATCAGTTTTCGTACAAATGTTATAAACAGTGGCAGATTTTGCTTTCTTTAAGAAAGAAACTTCATTATTGTGTTCACAGCAATTGCCACGTAGGCCTGCTTTCGCTAATAAAAGTTTTTCTAATGTGCCGTCTCTAATATTAGATCTAAATATAGTCCTCGTTTTCGCAACAACACAGAGGATCCTCTCACACTCTGCATTACTATAGGGAACTGTCAAGATGGCCAACACAATTCTAGACAGTTCACTATATTTTAAAATTCCATCAGCACCTTTCAGTTTTGCAATTAAACTCCACTGGGTGTCAATCGTAGCTGATTTTATAACTTCATTTAAGTTTTCTAATTGTAAACTGCTGTTATGCAGCTGTTGGAACTGTTTCAATTTTTCCTTCCTTTTAGAACTCCTTTCAAGATAATAATAAATATCAACAATGTGTTCATCCACATTTATTGGTAAAGAAGTTGCCCCCTTTTTCAGCTGCTAAATTTAAGAGGTGACAGGTGCACCTCATAATCTGAATTTTTTTTCCTTTCTTAAGATGCCCTGCAACACCAGCCTTCCAAGCCTACCAATACTGGTGCATTATCGGCACCAAGTGCTAAGCAATTATCCAGAGTGCCTGCAGTTTTCTTTTAAAGTTTTAATAATTAGCTGTGCTATATTAAAGCCTGTCAAATGTCCTTCTAAAGTGGGAACATAAAGTAAACTGCACTTAATTTCTGAAGACTCTGGATCAAAAAAAGAAACAACAATTGGATACAGTTTTGAATCGGTATTATTGCTTCCATCAGTAGAGAGGCAGACCGGAGCTGTTTTAATTTTTAATGCAATCAATAACTGAAGATTTATTTTTCAAACCCATTTTTCTTAACAATTGCACCTGTTTTTGATTCTTGCACCTTAAGTATTTCTTAGCGATTTCACTATCGGGAAACATTTTTCTAAATAAAGCTGCAGCGTGATCCGATGCATTCAGTGGCAGGTTGTGCTCCAGTAAAAAGGCAGAGAACAGATAATCTGCATTAATAAATTTTGGTCCTTTGTTTCCGAAGAAAAATTTAATTTTTCGTTTTTTTCAAAACAACTCATGTTATCCTTGTGTTTTTGTGTACGCACATGTTTGAGAACATCCGCCCTTCCAACATACGAAATCGAAAAATTGCAACG